TTAGTTTCCACTGAAATCATTTCATCTTTCCATTGTTGGATAGTTCATCTTCAGACTCGCCTGTACAATCCTACTACCTGCAGATTCTATGCCCTCAATGCACAAATCTGAACTTCTCATAGTGTTTGAGTCCCTAACCTTGTTGTCATTAATGCCCTGTGTTTGCAAGTTTAATCATCAGCCACAGAGTCTTCGTTTTAATTCTGCTCTTGATCCTACTATTTTTATTGCCAATTTTTGGCCTCATGATCTCTTCTGATATCAAAGGAATGCTGACATGTGCTCCATCGCTAAAACTGCCAATAAATAACTCAGTTTCCTATTTTATGCCAAATCTCCCTTTCTCCTCAATGAAAACATTTAGATTTCATTAAGTGAAATGAAGTGAAAGTTGTGACAAAGGTAAACCGTGGCAACTAAAAAATAACTTTTTAAAATCCCATGTTCATCCACAACATATCTTTTTGTACATGATTATAACTTATGAAAAGGCTTGTCTCCAAATTATCCCTTGCATCTTCCAGCATCAAACCTCAAACTCTCAATTGCAATCTTTGTTCAGATTGTTATCAATGTTATTTCCCTGGACTTTCCTCCCATATCTCACAAGATCCAAATTTGCTGTCCTAAACATTCTTCTCCTATTCTTCACTTCATCCCAATTGTTAAAATGTTGACTTCTAGGTTTTTTACTTTAGCAAGACTTCAAGACTGAAACCTCTTACATTGTTCTGCCTTCCCTCTTCCTAGTTATAGGCTTCCAGAATCCAAACTAAAGCACTACTTTTTAACTTGCATATTTTTCTAATTGTTTCCAGTCTCTGCCCTTCATCTATGTATTTCTTTTAAAAAAAAGACATTTGGTATTCCATACATAATATAACTTTTCTTAGAATAATTACCCCTTACCAGGAATATTTTCCCCTCTCCTCGCTTGCAGACAATGACTCATGCTGAAGGTACAGAATTTCCATGGAACTTCACCCAAGAGAGACAGTCATCATCCAGAAGTCTAATAGTGCATGTTGGCAGACAATCAACCATTGGAGCGTCAAAGTCAAGCCTGTTTCTGTCCTCACCTGATAGTCACATATATAATAAGCTTTACAACAGGGATTATTGAATAGTGATGAAGAGCAGGAACCCTGGCAAATGTTTTCCTTCTGAGCCCAGAGATGCAGATAAGTGCCACATTACTACTTTAACTCAGATAAACTAATTCAATACTGACCAAGGATTATATTAAGTAATTTCAGGGATTTTTTTGTTCTTTTATGTTTATATAGCTCAGCAACATGTTACACAGTGCTTTAACCCTGTGAACCATTAACCCTTAAAAAAAAATTGCAAAAAAAACATGTTGTAGAACTGAAGATGGAAAGGCATGAAATAGGTCAATGGAAATAACAACAAACTACACCTGACTAATAATAATCCTTGCATTTGATATTGCGCCTTATCATGTCGTCAAGACGGCTCAGAGCACTCTACAGAGTATACTGTAAAGTGAATTGACTGTATATTTTGTGGGCAAAATGTGAGTAATATAGGAGTGAAGTGACTGATCCTTAAGGATTATTTAAGTAAACAAATGTATACAAATGTAATTTGTTGTTATTTTCAGTATCTTGGGACATTCTCCCGACATGAAAGGCACTATACAAATGTAATTTGTTGCTGTTGTTTTTATTTGTTTCCTAGCAAATTACAGGAAAAAGTTGTTCTACATAATACTGTAAATTATATTGCCTTAGCTTTCATCGCTTTACAGTTTCAAATTGTTAGGTATTTCTCTTCTAGGATCCTTTGACATGTTGGTTATCTATTTGAGCAGACAATGCAGCTTAAGGTAAAATAAAAAGTCCACAGCAAGATAACTGCCCTTCAGGACAATGCTCAGAATAAGCAAAAAGCAGTTCTGGTCTCTCTTCAAAATCCCAAAGCAGTTTAAATTGGCCAAAATATCAATGTGTTGACCAAACAATTCTCCTTCTCAGCTCCCTCCTGGGCATGCAATGGAAAAGTTTCTTTCAGTCTATTTGCAAAGTCCGGACAAAGCAATGAGATGGATTTGTGATAAAAACAGGAAGCGCCTATTTTGTGATAGTGACGAGGGCCAAGAATATCATTTAAGTGACATTTAAGTCTTCCTATAGGCAGACAAAACAGCACAGGAGAATTTTCAAGGCTATAAGTATCTCAACAGAAATTTATTTTTTTGACGGAGAGCAGGATATTTACAAAGTTTGGTTAAAATCTGACAATATTTTCAAGCTGAAGTAACAAAATTAGTGCTTCTGAGCAGATGAACAACAATGCAATAATTGTACTTCTTCTTGTGGAGTTGGGAGAAGGGAAAAAACTGCATAAAAATACAAAAATGGTGAAATTTTGTAACTTGCGATGTGCTCATTGATACAGGAATAACATTGTTGAAAAATACAAGAAAGCTAGTCAATGATCTATTGACTGATTTTGGAAAGTGACCACTAGCCCCTCCTCTCCCTCCATTTACAACGCATATGTTTGGCCAGAAACCAGACCATGTTACTGAGAACATTAGGAAACAACATTACAGAAGACCTTCAATTATGCATTACAGTTTATCCAAAATCCTTGGTTGCCCAGTGCCCTGGGGCTTCTTTCCGACTGAAGGCGCTATACAAGTGTAATTTGTTGTTCTTGTTGTATCCCACAACCAGCAGCCCAATCCGACAACACTTGACCTGGCTTTGAAACTAGCTAATATGTTGGGTAGTGGCCAGTTAATATTCAAAACAACTTGCCAAATTTTTCAACAATGTGTTGACACTAATCAAAATGGCATAATTCTAATTAGAGTACATTAGAACTATAAATGCAACAAATTACATTTCATGTCAGGAGGATGTCCCAAAGCGTTGGCCAGTTTGAGGGTTTTCACTCAAACTGGGAGTGGATTCGGGAGAGGTGGGGGGCTAAGGGGGTTGGGGTAGAAAGATGACCAAGGTTGCAGTCAAGGAGCAAGGTCTTGAGACAGATCTAGAAGAAAGCGAGGGAAAGTCCGACCACCAATGGTCAGACGACAAGTGATGTAAATTCAAGTCTGTTGAGCAGAAGAGATTGTAGGGTGCACTATCCACTAAGATATACTCAGCATAAATAATATTCCATGTTGTGGCTAACCCCCCAAAAAACAACCTTAGTCCAAGTACCCTACCAAAGCACATCATTCAGTTAATTAAATTTGACAAGGAATAATTTGTGGAACTGTACAATAATTAGGACTTTAATTTAATAAAGATGTTAATTGTTCCCCAAATTATTGAGAAATGGAAATTCCATAAAATGAAGTCAGTAGATACCTTTCATCTGATCAGTTTCTCTTGTGGATATTATGCTATTCATACGCAGTTCTGAACTTGGGAATATGATATTGCTTTCTTTTGCGCCATGCAATCAGAACACCCACTGAGGTGAAATTGTAAAGTATTCGATCAATAACACAACCACTACAAAACGAAGTCACAAATAAACACAGGATCCTGGATAACACCAATACTGTACATCCTGCAGCCAAACTCTATAGTGTTATGATAGTTGAACACACTCACACAATGCTGGAAAATTCATGCCGAAGTACAGGGAATTTTTGTTAGTCTAATGCTAATGTTTTTCATAAAATCTTTTCAGTACAACATGTCAACATTTTAATGTTCTGATTGAACAAAGCTTACAACAAATAAGTAAGAAAAATCTCCTTAGTTCAAAATAACTAAACAAACTTTATAACATTAGTTGGATGTACTTACTTCTAAACGTCGGTTTGAGAATTTCACACACTTGTGGTTTCATACAGTTCAGGAGGGAGTTGAGCCATAAGCATTTTATATGTGATGTTTCATTAAGCATAAAATTACAAACAATTAACTAGAGAAGAGCATTTTGGAAGGCAAAGCACAATTTTTGGGTGGTTTCAAATCAATAAATCTCATTAAGGTTTTGATGTGCCCTAATGACTTTTGGAGGAAATAAGGCAGATGCTGATCAGGATAAATTGTTCAAAATAAATATTTTATACATTTCTACTACATTTAGTATTTTTAATGTTCCAGATGGTGCTTGAAAATGCCTCTCACCCACAAAGTTTTTCTACTTGGGTTATAATAATAATAATCCTTGCATTTGATATAGTGCTTTTCACGTCGGGAGGACGTCCCAAAGCGCTTCACAGAACACACTGTAAAGTGAATTGACTGTATATTTGTGGGCGAACGCGGCAGCCAATTGCGCACAGCAATGTCCCACAAACAGTCGTAGATTGAAAATGACCAATTTTTATTATTGTTTTTGGTTTTTGGAGGGATTATTATTAGGCTCTGTGTGGAGTAAGGAAACTTGCCCAAGGTTTCGCCCTGACCTGCCTGGAATTGAACTCAGGTCTCTCGCTTGCAAAGCGAGTGCTCTAACCACTGAGCTACAGGACTCCACAAGTTGCAGGATAGACTTTGACAACACTGACTATATATAATGTATTGCTGCTCGCCTCCTAATAGATCATGAGGCAATGGTTCTTTATTGGTTTATAACTGAGTCTGCCTATAATTGAGTGAAAGCATTAAGCCCAATGAATCATAAATATCAATGAGTATGCTGGGACTGAAGAGTTTTCAAAAATATCATCTTAAAATAGTTCTGACTAAGAAAAATATTTGGTATTCATACTACATATAATTCACAACTGGTTACTGGGAAATAAATATGATCACAAATCCTTACAAATCACTGATATCTTGGGATTTGTGGTGGAAAAGGGTAATAGTTGACTGGTAAACTAATAGGTGGTTCCAAATGACGAGAAACTGAACACATTAATATGCAGGCGTAATGACGTTACATATTATGATTTGTTCTGAAGTCTGACAAAACACTATTAATTCCTAGAGGTTTGTTTCTTCTATGACTAAACGTAGTGTGGCAGCAGTAAGGGGCGGGGGGGTATAATTCAAAGTTAAACTTACTGTTACTAGTAGTAATATTAACCTCTTCAACTTGCTGAAGAGCTTCACTGTCCTGTATGATCTGTGAAAGACCAATAGTTCGAACAGGAGTATCAAGGCCAACAGAGCTCTCATTCACCGTCACATCGCTAGCACCCGTTATCTGATTAGTTGGTGGCCCTCCTATTGATCCTTCAAAATCAGTTGTTACATCGTCTGCACAATCTGCATTTGGCTGCAAGAAAAAGGACACAAGTTACAAGTTAACTACCTTGCCTTCTCCTTTCCTGGTAAAGAATAAACCGTACGACTGCTTAAACACTGCAATAGACATTTCCCCTGACAATTGCTCCATTCACTGGGTTCACACAACTTCAGTAACTGAACAAAGAAATCCATCTAGTCACAATAGGAACACAACATGAAGCTTGAATTAACTTTGGAGGGTCAAAGGTAATGGTTAAGGGTGTGACAAATATAGATTGGAACATTTGACAAAATAAATGGAGTTTTTTAATACTGTGGGGCTGCATTTTTCAACCCACATGAACACTAATCATGAACAATTATTACAGAAGAATTCCATTCCTTATATGGATATAACTGAACATACTGAACAGCTAAACTCCCAACAGCTGTTTCCCTTTCTTCCACATTTGCTACAACAAACCCAGGGTTAAACTCTGTCTCAGCAACCGAATTACCACCAACGAATAGGGGACAAACTAACCAATTAAAATGTTCCACGAAGCCATTTCGAACACCTTCAGAACACATCTTATTTTCCGACTTACTCTAAACAAAATGTTTTGTTCATACTCCAACAGGGATCCCAATTGAAATATGGATTGAACGCGTGGGACAGATATTTAGTCAAAATTGTAGCAATTTGTAAAAAGTTAACTTAAAAAAAGTCCTGGGGTACAAATAAGGATTCCTTCCAAAAAAAAGTACAGGTATATCATGCCAACCCAGTACTTCTGGTTAAAATGCCATGACATTTGATTCCCAGTTATGAATAGCTCATTTTAGACCCCCAATATCAAGCAAAAACGACTTTGTTCTTTGTGGAACATCGAATGGTTCTGACCATACGTTTACGTTCTTAGAATATCTTCTTTATGTAGAAAAGCTGCAAAACGTACCAAAAACGTGTGTAGAAAAACACACTGTCTATTACAAAGCTGTAGTCCCATCTGAAGGATGGCATAACACAAACCAAAAGATTGAAGCTCAAACTGTTTATCAAGGTCATCTAAACCAAAATGTTGAATAGTTTTGAAACACACAGCAGATTCTACAGAAATATAACACACCCTTTTTTGTGCTTAGCATTTGAAATTTTTATGATCTGATAGTGTCTCATGACAGACAATATTGATTAATCATCTTCTTTCTAAATGTGTACTGTATGATTAGGGCAAAAATAATACAATGATTCTTTCCCATGACTAATACTAGGGTATACTGTAGCAGCTATAATTTATATAGTACACTGAATGAGTAGAAGTTGATTATCGGGCATTAACCCAATTAAGGGGCTCAGATAGCAAATGGAAAATGTTATCTGAATCATCTGAACTTTGCAACTAAATTGCTACTTGTAATCAATCCTCTCCGATACATCCAGTATTTGCGGAAAACTTTTTTTTAAATATAAAACTGTTGTAATTGGGCAACACAAAATGACACAAAATTAAATACAGGATGTCAGAAAGATTATGAAAAATTAATTGGGACCTCAATGAATAAGATTATATGACCCATATGACATGCAGCCTCATAATAATAATAATAATCCTTGCATTTGATATAGCACTTTTCACATCTTCTAGACGTCCCAAAGCGCTTCACAGAATACACTGTAAAGTGAATTGACTGTATATTTTGTGGGCGAACGCGGCAGCCAATTGCGCACAGCAATGTTCCACAAACAGTCGTGGATTGAAAATGACCAATTTATTATTGTTTTTTGTTTTGGAGGGATTATTATTAGGTGTGTGGAGTAAGGAAACTTTCCCAAGGTTTCGCCCTCTGCCTGGAATTGAACTCAGGTCTCTTCACTTGCAAATCGAGTGCTCTAACCACTGAGCTCCAGGAATGGTGGTCCTTTTGGGATACATAGAAACAGGAGTAGGCTATTCAGCCCCTCTAGCCTGTTTCACCATTTTATAAGATCCATGGCTGATCTGTACCTCAAGTCCAGTTACCTGCCTTGCTCCACATCCCTTAATACCCTGATCTAACAAATATCTATCTGCCTCTGTCTTGAAAATGTGAATGGATCCAGCATCCACAGCCTTCTGGGGGAGAGAGTTCCTGATTTCTACTACCCTTTGGGTGAAAAACTGCCTCCTAATTTTACTCCTAAATGTACTAGCTCTAATTTTAAGATTATGTCCCTTTGTTTTGGATCCGCGCACCAGAGGAAATTGTTTCTCTGGCGAACTACAAATGAATTCATAAGTATTCATAACAGATGAGGTAGTTTATTTGCAACTTCTAAGGAGGAAAATGTTCACCTTTTTAAATGAAACTTTCATACACATTAAAAAAACAGATCGCAATGGGACCCTGAAAACTTATATCCAAGGAAAACAAACACGCTAAAAACACCGACTGTTAAATTAACATTACTTTGTAGTAGTTACTGTGAACAAATATGAAAATTACAGGTTTCTAGACCAAAATGAAACAACTTTTGGTATGAAGCTGTTGGGTACCAAAGCTGAGGCAATTTATTTACCTTTAATAGAGTTAATTATTAACTTTATTATTATTAATTATTATTATTATTATTATTATAATTATTATAATTATTATTATTAGAGTTTATTAGAGTTAATAATCAATAATTAAGTTCAATTTAAATAATCTGAATTCATAGTCTTGAAGTTCCACCAAGTTCTAATACACCAAAGTTTTCACAATCTGCTTTCTAGTTAAGTTTGATATTTGTACAGGAAAGGGCTATTGTTCTTCTATTTGTTACACCATACATTACTTTCAAGAGAGATCCAGACATCAATCTAAAAAGGAATAATGTTCAGGGGTTTGGGGAAAAGGCAGGTATAGTGGGACTGAATGGGTTGATCTTTCAAAGAGCCAGCATCAACATGAAGGGCTGATTGACCTTCTTCTATACAGTAAATTGATGTGGTTCTAGACAGGATGACTCTAGTATCATGAATCTTGCTGGTGCACAAGTCTCCCTGTAACACGGGCATCCTATGGATCTGCATTTTTGCACCTGAACATCAATTATTCAATGTGGATTCCAAGATAAAAATGACAGCAGCAGAAATTCCAATCATTAAAAAACATTGCCTTTGAGGCATAATTTTGAAGCATTTGCATATTTTATCCTTCACATTTACAGAATTCCCATCAAAATTAATATAGAAGCGATTCTTCTGCTTCTGATAAGTTGATGGCTGCAGTATATTGGTAATAGTTGTTACTGCAGATTTTTTTTACACCCACACACTCTTGCATAGTCAGTCAATCATTTCCTCTCTAGGGGGTCATCAGCAATCAAGAGCATTCTACTGTTACTAGATTTGTTTTGCAAAGCTACTTTTACTAACACAGTTCTAATCACTACAGAAACTAGAAACTGCTGTTTAATGTTTTAGCGTAACTGTAGGAGCAAAGTTACACTGTTTAATGTAAATACATTTTGATTATAATATCAGAATGTGGCCTGGTTACTGCCTTGCTCAACGTAAGCCGAGTACAATGATTAGCTTATAAGCACTACTGTCTCAGCTGACATCAAAGTGAATTAAATAGAAAAAGTCCACTGTTAATTATGTACGATATTCTGATACAAGAATAGAGGCTTTCTTCAGTTTCTAAGTGAACAGTTAATTTTACAATATGCTGTACACTGAACCCGAAATCAACTGACTATTTTAAAAAAAGAACAGCTTTTTAACACAAACTCTATAATAAAACAAACATGGGGAAACAAATCAGAAGCTAGGAAACATTAATCCACAACTCCCTAATTAATTATTCTCAAACTTTAATCAACCAATGATTTAGTTTCAATTATAGGTCAAAGTCTTCACTTAATTATCTTAATTCCAAACGATTTTTAAAAAATTAGGTCTGTAATATTTGCTCTCATCAAAGCAAAGATTGTCAACTATAGAGATTGAAACCAGCAGCAGTGATAGGGTCCCATACAAATTCCAATAGAAATTTACATTTATATAGCACCTTTTATGTTGGCAGGACATATCCCCAAAACCCTCTACAAAAGCAGGAAGAGTCACAGAACGCTTCCAAGACAGTCCCTGAAGCACACAACTTGTCATCCAGCTCTGCTACTGACCCATTACCCAGAGCCGAGTCTCAGTGAAACCCCTTTAATTCAGCAATACTCTAAATCCTACTTCCACTCAGACCCATTCCTCCTCGGACCCACTCTGAGTTGGCTTAAGTCAAAAACATTGCTGTGTATATAAAATAATGTCCAGCAGTCAAAAGTAGGGGCTCAATGATACCTGAAGATGGTTTAGAGAACATTATCAAACTCAGCTGTCAAGCTGTTGAAAGTTAAGATAACCAAAGATAATGGCCAAATTCTTTCACACTTCTACTTTGATAAGTGCTTTGAGGCCCCAAGGAATTTCAATGGTTCATTACGATCAAAGATCTTTGTTGAGGTATAGGCAGACCTCCGAAATAGTTTAACTGGTGGTTACTGCACAGTGAAGAAAAAGTACCTTTTTGACCATTTGTTGGTAACACCTTTCATTTCTCTATTGTGTTAGTATTTTCCCTTACCATTTTTAAAATCTATATTATATAGATTTTTATTTAAAATTGAAAAAGGAACAAATGGAATGAAATTGTTAATATATTTCTGTCCTTGATTTGTGAAGATTGAAGAGCAATTCCCAGTGTTTTATTAGGGTTAGGGCCTGGGTTAGTCTGAGCTTCATCATTTGTACCTACTTAAAACAGCACATGTTGAACAATAGGTTCAAATGGAGCAAAACTGGCAGTAAGCAAGAAAGAGGCTATTGAGGATATTCAATAGAGATAAGCCAGGCAATCGGAAATTTGTGGTAGACGCTATTGCCATTATTTCCTTATGGCAGAACCCAAACATGCAGCAGAAAGTTTTAAGTCCCGATAGGAAAAGATCCTTCAAAAGATCTTGCAGCTTAATTTTAATGGAGTACTAAAATTCCTTCAAAGCCCTTGAAACCCAATTCCAGCTCAGCAAGAGCAACAATTTTTCTTCACCTGCAGACAGAAAAAAACAATGGAATCCAATGCATGCAATGTGGACTAATATCACCAACCACTCACGGCAATAAAACACTTCTCCCTTCACACAGACGTAAACCAGACTACAAGTATTCTAGGAATACTTTTTTATTTCTATATGCCCCAAACCACAAAGCAGCCTTGAGTGAACTCTGATTGATATGGTATGGGAATCTATTTATTAATCAGTGCACAATTTCAACCAGCAATAGATTTTGAAAGGGTGCAAATTAAACTCATTGCACTTTCACACACTTGCAGAAATGAAACCCTCAAGACTCGGTTGAGTGCTGAAGGATCTGCGGCACTAAGTACAGCATCTTCCACATCTGACTATGCCAAACCCAACCTTCCTATGTGAAGTCAAGATTACACCAAACATTCAAACACATAACCTCCTGAACTTGTTCATAAAAATCTTCCTGAATCTGAAGGTGACAAAACTCATGGATTTCTTCCTTGCTGCATGTTTAAAGCATGTCCCATTGTAATGGCACAGGTTGACCCGAACCACCATTTGGTGATAGCATTTTGGTGAACTCTTCTTTCCTAAGAGAATCATGTACTCAATAAGGTTAAACCAGGAGAATTTCTTCAATACAGATGTAAGTCAGTTGGTCAGTTTCAAGCCCCACGTCAAAACCAGAGGCTCCAATATATGAAGAATACTGCATTGTCATTGCCATCTTTCACTGAATACATTAAATCAAGATTCTGCCTTTCTACTTGGACAGATATCAAAATAAGATAATTCTCCCATGCCTTAGCCAACAACCTCTCAGATTCTCCTCATGGCTGTTTGTGGGACATGCTGCAGACAAATGGCCATTACCTTTGTCTACAAAAACAACCTACAAAACATAACTTGACAGAAATTATTCATGAGGTATTTCAACATGGTGTGGCACTACAAAAATGCAAAGTGACAGATGGTTTATAAAGACACCGATGGGCCTCACTTGAATATTATGTGCAGTTTTGGTGGACATACGACACAGCAGATATTTCCTGTTATTAAAATAGGTTACAGTGGTAGGAAACAAATTAGTGGTATATTGGATTAAGTACCTCAGTAGCAAAGAGAGATTGCAGAAACAGGAATATTCTAGATGGCGGAAGTGATGCTCTTACAGAAGTTTTCCAGATACTAAAAAATGTAAATACGATGGATGCCAAGAATGTGTTTGATGTAGTCAAGAAGTCCATAATCTTGAGCTCAGAATGGGGTTTCAAGGAAGGAAGGTGAACCATTTAGATTTATACACTATCATTATAATACAATCGTAGTTATAATAGTACAATAGTAGTTTTACAATAGTACTTTAAGTAGGGAATGGTGAATATGTGTAACAGATTGCCTAAGGGGAAGTATGGGCTATTAGTTTGGGCAGTTTCAAGAAGAAATAACGTAGATATATGATATGAGATATCAAGCAATAGTATTTTTTTTAAATGGGATGGCCAGTCGAACTTTAATTGTACTTTTATGTACTCCTTTGTACTACTAAGAGACTTTATAGTCTCACCTTTTGAAAGCATCTGACTTCTCTGTGGAAATAATCACATTTCATTCACATTGTTAATATCATCCCAGTCTTTTCCCTTTTAGCTCTGTAATTGGTCAGAAGCAAACTATAAACCCTGGGCAGTTGGGCTGTGTGAAACAGTAAGATTTAGTTTAAATAACACTGAGAGATTTTGAAACGTTAGAACATAAATCAGAAATAAAATTTCATTTTATTTATAAACTGGTTTGCACTATGTTAAAAATGGTCTTTTCTCATCCAAACACAATCTTCATAGGACATCAAAACCTTTTTAGAAAGCTACTCATACAACCAGAGTCCAAATTGAGTAGCTTCGCTGTAGATTTTTAAGAGTAAACGCTTGTTACACACACTGTATAATTGAGTGCATTTTAATATTCATAACTAGTAGATAAACATCAACAAACACCAACCAAGAAGAAAGTCCTGTTCTGTGATTTATTTGATATGCTGCAACTTTTGTGGATGCCTACCGGAATTCCTAGTGCTTTGAGAATATTCATCTTGCACATTGGGCATGTGCGATGATCTAGCAGCCATGGATCCACGCACGTCTTATGGAATAGATGCCTGCAGCATGTAAAATAAAAAAATTCAGTCAACCATCACATTATAATTTAAAGTATCTGGAGCAAGTTGAAAATAAAGGTAATTGGGTTCAAAGGCTGTAGACTGGAGGCAATTACATCTGTGGTCAAAAAAATTGTAACTGAGAAGCGAGTTTAGGATAATCAACATTGCAATCCGATTTTCCATCTAATTTTGCCTCATTAACCATATATTTTTGACATTGGCACAATGAGATTTTCTACCTGACTACAATTTAACTAGTATGTCCATCAATGACCACATCTGGTTTAAACTTCTAAATCTAAACCAGAAGGCACAAATTTGTATATCTGTAAAGTGTATTATATGGTGTATAGATGTCTTATTGTTGAAATATGGCAACACCGTGTGATCAATAGGCTTCTTTTATTTATACATTAGATAACAAATAAGAGGGCATGTATCAGATTAATGAACCGCTGTATTTTTGTTTAGCCAATATGTCAGTTTATATGTTTAAAATTACAATGCTAAATGTAAGAAATTGGAATCCAGTTTTCTTCAGTTTATTGTTAGATTTTGGATGAAATTTCAGTAAACTCCTGAACGTTAGTTCCAGCGTAACGACAAGATCTTAAGGTATTCTAAAATATTTCTTTGATAATACTACTTCATCAGCTATCGACTTTCTAGAATTTTTTCTATGATTCCTAAAGTTCTTCTGGTTTACAGTATTCTGCTCAGGGGATTATTGTTTTTATTTAATTATTCTCTGTAATTAATTACATGTCTGAGCTGGTAGCACTCTTGTCTAAGTTGGAAGGTTGTGGGTTCAAATTCTAACACATTGACACAAGTGAATACCTCTGGGTTTAAGCACATTGATATCATCAGTTCTGCACATAAGGTATTATTTAATTGCACTGCCAAGGCTTTGCAATTCGATGAACGAAAGACTATTGCACTAAATATGCATTAGTTAATAGTAGTCTATTTCTCAGGTTAATCATAAAATAAGTTCTGTTACTTACATAGTATACCTAATATTTTGCAATACTGTACTCATCTTCTTTATCTGCCTTTAATGTGATGGTGGCTGGAGGGGAACAGAAACAAGCTTCTACTGTAAGTATGTAAGTTACATTTTTAGGCATTTTAAATACTACCCATGGTGAAACTATAAATCAATGATAAATGCACGGACCTTTAAGAGCTGCCATGAAGTAATAAATTCAACAATCATTGCTAGTAAATGGACACAAACATATGTGGAATGAGAAACAAAATCTGATCCATCAAGTCATCGTTTTTCAGAAAGCTATAATTGATCATATTATGAACTCCACCCCAATTATTTAATCTGCACACAGCCAGCCCACTCCCTTCCCATCTTGAGTGGGATCTTGAGCTAAAACGGCATTCACAAAGTAGGAACTGACATCGATGATAATTCAGAATTTAGCAGAACGAGAGGACATGGGTGTAAGGTTGCAAACAGCAATTATAGACGGACACCAGGAAGTATTTCTTTACCCAGGGGGTAATTAACAATTGGAACAGGTACCAGGGTGACTGAAGCTTACTGTTGTGATGGGAGAATGGTAGGGTCTGGAAGAATAAGATTAAAAGTACCAAAGAGCATTCATCATCAAAACTTCTCTTGCGAAACATTAATTAATGTATAAATGCAATATTGTACATAATTTTAAGATGACACAATAACAGGAAGTAATGTTGAATTTCAAGAAAGGTAGAAATGATTATCAATGATATTGACTCTGTTTCTCCCCACCTGCTCAATACATCAAATCCTCCCCATTCCCCATCTCTGCATCCAATCCCCCTCATTACCCTAAACCTCTGATCCCCAATAACCTGTGAACACTCTATATCTTACTAAATGGGCGCTTTATCAATATCAAAACCTGATTAGAGAGAGACATGCTTTCCTTCATCTGCAACATTGCCTATCACCAGTACTACTACAACGGATATCAAGCACTCTGGGACGTCGCACAGTGTGGAGGGCGCTACATAAACGCATGTTGTTGTAGTTGCTATGGTTGTTACTTCCACGTAACATGCTTGGCCATACATCTAGTCAATCGTCTGTGGCTGTCTCAGTAAACTGTGGGTAAACAGGTCCACGGTATCCCAGAGCACCGCTTAGACAAGAGACTCTAAACTCTGAGATGCTACCCTACGTGAGGGTTTTATATAAAGGCAAGTTTTTGAAGATGACAGACCAGCCTGGCTCATCGGGAGGACTTGGGAGAGGCAGATCAGTTACTGGGCGTAGGGATTCTTCCACTCAGATCCTTTCAACCTGGAAAGCACGTCTCTAATGTTAGTTCTAGCTGGACAAGCAGTGCAAAGCTTGCCCAATAGTGCTTTCAAAACAAACTATGTGGTCTTAGCTGATTAAACTCCAACAGTAATCAATGCATACTTTGAAATTCCCAAATTGTATGGAATTAGGTAAGCAGAGCGAGGCCTTCCAGGGAGAGAGAGAACACATTTCTTTCCAAATATGGAAATTGTCATGTGTAGATGGCACATATGGAACATTGTCTGGTTTGGATACTCTTAAGCATGATGATGGGTTTTGCATGCATCAAGACACCTGGCTGAATGGTAAAGTATAGAAGTAAGCAATAAAATCACAATTTGGGTTTTCTTTTGTCATAAGTACCATGGAATAATCCTGCAACAGGACTGGGGTAAAATTGCAGAAATGGTTCTTGAAGCAATTCAGCAACAGAATCACAGTATAAGGTTAGTGGCTATGATCCTGTTGCTATTTGGAGAGGTGCAGCACATTCCAAATTTAGATTCTCAAGCCTTTTACTGCTAATGATTCTCCCTGTGGACCAGAAATTTTCAAAGCTTTCGATATCTTTGTGACAACATTTCATCTGTGATTGAATGTTTTTTCTGCATCCCACTGTATTAATCTTCACTAATATCAAACAAATCACACCTCAAAATTACAGGACTTTAATTCCCAGATGTAAAAACAGAGAGAACGGTATAGATGCAGGTCTTAAACTGCCAATCAGCTTTACACATGGGTGGTAATGACGAGCAATTAATCATAACAAGATTGCAACACAAAACTGAATCATGATTCTACCACTCTTGTTACCACAGTTCCAGCCAAAAATATAGCTGGCAAATAAAAGAGCGACTATTTTCCAACATCAAAGAGACATCAAGATACCCAGCACAGTTTCACAAATTGGCTCTAAATTATGTATCACTTTATGTGGGAAAATAACATCCTTGGAATAGTATATTGCAATGTGTCTGTATTAGGTTTTTGCATCAATATTTCTAAAATAAAGACAGTCAGCCTTTTTATGGATTGACACAGCCAGCAGTTTAGGGCAATCTCTGCAAAATCACAGAGCTACAAAACCAGAATGGGGACTGCAGTCTGTTGAGCTATTCTGGTCAAGTCGTGGTCTAGCAATCATTGATCTGCTACCATATATATTCCAACAAAAGTATCGCAAAACAAATAGATCATCAGTAAACTTAATTTCTACCAGCTATTGAGAGGGCACTTGTTCCGGTCAGATCCATATTGTAAGATGTTTGTGGTACCAGTAAATATAGCTTAGTTGTACAAGTACATAACTTTCCTCTCACCCTGGCTAATGTGATTAGTAACAGGAAGGATAAACTCAGGCTTTCTGTTCTATATTGCGCTACCACCGGAACAGAGAATAATCCTTAACAGTATCAAAATTCACGCAGATCAAATTGCCAGTTTTGAAATGTTACTATTTTTATTCTATGCAGAGTAGCATTTAGCAATGACCATAATTTGTATTCACTGCAAATAAAATCTATTAAACGATGGAACTAAGAAGAAAATGCTAAAAATCAAAGGAATCTTGGACAGTATGAACAAAACAACTGCCAATATTACTCCTGTGCCACCCCCCCACCCCCAATTTAAAAATTCTATTAGGTTGTCAAACCTACAAGATAATGGAGAAGTATTTTCAGCAAACCCGAAAATTTGAGAAGATTAACACTACTACAAAAGGCAAGAAAATTAGAGCGAAATGCTAAGTAATCTATAATTAAAAATCAATAATACACACATTTAGACTGCACAAATATTTAATTTATGTCATGAAAACTCTTAGATTTGAAACATAAGTAAAAGTTGAAGCTAATCAATCAGGTTCTGCTTAAAATTAAATGCAAATGTTTGCAGGGCAACTGCACACTCCATGGCCATTTTTGTTGATCAGCTAGCTGGTTGTCTGACACGATATGTGGAAACATATCACTGTGTTTAAGAGTATCCAAACCAGACAGTTCCACATATGAAGGCCACATACGTATGGAAATTTCCCCATGTGTGGAATAGAATGTGCCCTCTCTTCCCAGAGGGAAGGAATTACCTAATTATGGAAAGTATTAGGCATAGGTTGGCGAGAACTGAGGCTTGGGGATCCCAGGGTGTGCACAAGGGTACTGCTGGGGCTCAACCAGCTAAAACTGTAGAGCTTGCCATAAAGTCATGACTCCTCTGTGGAAGATTTCCAAAATGCATAGTTGAAGCAATGCAATCTTCGAAGCGTACTGTTACTAGCTCAATTTCACACATCACAGCTGCAAATGAGTCCAACCAAAAAAATGTCCAAACTCATCTCTATGCCAAGGTAAGTACACAGTAGTTTAGAAGTTCGAATAAACATTGAATCACAAGAGTTTTAACAAGTAAATCCTAAAGAAAAGCAATCGTAATATACTCATTAAAGAAAAATTACTTACATCATGACTGAAATTCAGATTGACAGATTATTCACGTGATTACAACATAATATCATTTACAATTTGTATTAATTATTTTGCATTGAACTCTCACCATGGAAACGCAAATAAATTCAAGTTCATTTGTGCGATTAGATTACACACTTTATCCAGTTTTCTGCATTCTTTAAACAGATGCTAAATAACTAAATAAATAACTGGAGAACGTAGTCCTTTTAAGAAGATTAAAGTCAGCGGGATTATGGCACCATTCATGTAATTTGCACTGTATGAAACATATCTTACCAAAGCTTTAACTAATCAATTATTTCCTAGAAGCAGAAATTATGATAACTATAGTTATACATACAACAATGCAATTACCTAAATCATTTAATTGAAAGAAGAAAAATTATTTAGAAGGATCTGGAATTTTTTTATCATTTAAAGAAAACTGACCTTACACAACACAGGGTACAACTGTAAAGTGAATACGGTGGGGCATTATGGTCAGGGAGTTCATATGAAGAAATAGGTGTCAAATCAACAAAACAAAATTATAAACAGTGGAGCCCTGCTACAACATGAAGTTGGGGTGTATAAAATTTCAACCAGTGCTTGTGATTGCTGGATCTGGATTCACTAAGCGAGCAAAGTTCCAGAAATGGTCTGGAACATATATGGATCTCAGCTCAGAGGTTAAGTAGAATAAAAAATGACTAAAGATATATTATCTGTCATATCAATTATTGTACTTCAAGTGACTCAATGTGTGATAGAGTTTTAAAGTTTTAATGTGAAAAACGTTATTATTCAACTGCGCGGTCTATACAGTTGTTTTTCTGAAAATTTGGTTGAGGGAAGAATATGGGCCAAGACAACAACAATTTGTGTTCATTTAGTCATCATCAATTTTGGGAGAACGTCCCAAAGTACTTTACAAAGATGGAGTCGGGGCCTGGTTTAGGAGGGAGATGGTGGGGGTTGGGGTCAGGTAACTGAAGGCACAGTCAAAAGCATAATTTGACAGGTTAACAAGTAACAGTTTTGAACAGGTTTTGAAAGCAGCAAGCAGCTGGAATTTCAAAAGAGAGTTCCAAAGTGCGGAGGCAGAGTATCTGAAAGCTTACCTGCCAACGGGGGAACAGAGTGGGAGGGGGGGAAGGGGGATATGAAAGCAGAAGGAATGGCTGGAGGAGAAGAGTGTAGGAACTCACGGAGTACGGTGGAGCAAAGCCTTGGGGGCATTTTACGGTGGGGAGACCGTAATCACACAATAAGTTGATCTGCTGTGCAATAGGATACCTGTGGGGTTCGATGAGGATGAAGATGATGGCTTGCAGAGCCTGGTGTGAAAAACAATGGGGACTGTGGCGTTCTGAATGATGTGAACCTTGGGGGAGTTGGGGAGCCAACAATGGAAAAGCTAACAGTTACCCATTGATGGTGGGGAACATTGGGTGGGGGACATGAAGCAGGATTAGCTGAGTGGAAGGAGTCGCTGGACCTGAAGGAGAGCAGGAGGTCCCATATAGGTCTCACCTACAAGGCCATTCACGGCCTTGCTCCCTCCTACCTCTCCGACCTACTATCCCCCTACCTACCTGCCCGTACCCACCGTTCCTCTGGCTCCGGTCTGCTCTACATCCCCAGCCCCAACCGCCCTACCATTGGTGGCCGGGCCTTCAGCCTCTCAGCCCCGAGGCTCTGGAACTCCATCCTCCAGTGCCTTCGCCTTGCTTCCTCCCTTTCCTCCTTCAAGGCCGGTCTCAAGACCTTTCTCTTTGACCGTGCCTTCAGCTCCCCTCTCGACTCTCTACCCCCTCCTCGCTCCCTCCCTTCCCTCCCCTCACCCTGACCATTTCCCCCCTGCTCGGGTCCTGACCCAACTCTCCAGCGCCTTGGGACGTCCTCCCAACGTGAAAGGCGCTCTATAAATGGAATCTTGTTGTTGTTGTCCCAGAAGTAGAGTGAGGCGAGACCTCGGATAGATTTCAAAGTGAGGATGAGGATCTCAAATTCGATACCCTGAGGGTTGGGGAGCCAGTAGAACTGAGCGAGGATGGGAATGGATACTCTTGGATCCTGGGTGTGGGAAAGGACATCGGCTATAGAGCTCCAGATGGTCTTTAGCTGCGTAGGGAGCTGGGGAAATTGGAGAGCAAGGTATTGGAATAACCAAGCCTGATGAAGGCATGAATGAGGTCTTGGCAGCTCGGGAGAAGGGATAGTGAAGGAGATGGGGGAACCTAACAAGATATCACTCCTTCAATGCTACAAGAGAATGTCTGCCCAGATCATGAGCTCAAGACTTGGCGCAGGCCTCAAATCATAAGCTTCTGAGATAACTTCAAAAAAGTGCTATGAGATGCAACACTGAATGCCTCGGAGCAGTTCAAACAGCACTTACAAATCTTTTTACCTGTTGCATGAGAGATGAAAGCAAATCATATATAAGAACCTTTTTGTTGGTGAAATGACACCAGGAAGAAAGCTAGTAGCAAAAAAATAAGCAACTTTATATTCAAGGAGGTATATTTATAGCTGTGGGAAGGACAAATCACTTCGGTGCTGTCCCAGCATCATGTCATTAATATCTTAAAAGGACAGTAATCTTCCTACTGTCAACCTGGGCATAGTCTTAATGTACTGTTGTTGCTGAATCAAGAGGAATTTATCACTTTAACAATTACATAAAAAGCTTACTTGGGATGATCTTGGAACAGATGTATCCCATACATAGCTATTATAGAATGAGTATGTACAATTGGTAGTTGGGGTCCATAAATCTCCCTACAAGGCTTTGTAGCCAGGCGCCATCACCTGTTATTGCTTCCGGATCATGATGACACCATCACTGTGGATTAGGTCAGGGGGCTCCATCAGCGTGCACTGTGCTTAAAATTGTGACGTCACTTTATAAAACATGGTTTTGAACCACTATATTACTCTTTGAAGTACGAAACCTCTGAAGCAAGTAAAGGAGCTGGAACTCTGTAGCCCATGTCCTTTCCCACACCAGGATCTGAGACTATCCACTCCCATCCTCGCTCAATTCTACTGGCTACCCAACCCTCAGGGTATCGAATTTGAGATCCTCATCCTCACTTTGAAATCTATCCAAGGTCTCGCCTTACTCTACTTCTGGGACCTCCTGCTACTTTTCATTTCTGTGCATATTTTGGATTTTTTGTAAAGGACAATGTTGGGGTCCAATCTTAGAAATGATAAGCCATAACAGGGTTCCACTACTTTTGTTCTGCATTAGACTGATCATGCACTACATTTTTATTGGGTACACATTATATAGTATTCAAATGCAATAAGAATCCCTGAACATGGTATTTGAAGGCGAAAGTTTGATACAGCCGCATATCTAACCTGTCTAAATTTCCTTGGGCTTTTCGGACTTTATAAGCTAAGCCTAATTAAAAAAAAAGCTAAGAAATAGATGTTGAGATGCTCTGTATCCAGTATTAATGCAAAAAGTATTAAAGTGTATGTATATATATTAAAAAAAAGTATATACCACAAGCACCATGTGGAGAAAAGGCATAAATAATCAAAAATGTTTTCCGATGGCAGCTTACCTGCATGGCAAAATTCGCACTACGTCATTTGGCTTGTAACCTTCAATACAAACAGCACAATTATCAAAGTCTGATTCAGTTTCCTGGAGGTAAAACAAACGTGGAAAGATTAAAAGAATATTCTCCTTCTTTACACTCTAACGAGACAATGCAGTACCTAGTAGACTACCCTTTGTGAACTGTTTAAAATTTTGTTGGGACTAGAGTTGATGAAGCGTGTGTCAGACCATAGGAAATCTATGCAATTGCTCTTTACAATACATTTACTGGGACAGTTTGTACTCTCAGTAACCATCAGATCAATTTTGTGAGGCCCTAATTCTTATTGTAATTTCTGCTGTACATGCTGTACCTGATCATAAAGTGGGTAAGACTAAGTACCAATTAGTCAACTGATAAATATCTTTTATGCCTTTTCCAGTGATCATGAAAGAAACAAGTATGTTCTTATAGCCATCACGACTTTTGAGTCTTGGCTTTGAACAGCCATAACAATTCTAATAATAATCCATATAATACCTTTCACGTCTGGAGGCCATCTCAAAGCGCTTCACGCTATAAAGTGTAATGATACTGCTGTTAATTTGTGGACCGCAGTGTCCTACAAACAATCATGAAGTGAGTGACTAATTTTATCTGGGGGATTGTTGGCCAGCACATTGGGAGAAACATCTCCTGAAAAGGCAGGCAGGACCTCCAATGTAACATCTCATCCAAAGGACACCATCTCCAACAATGCAGTACACCTTCAGTGCTGGAGAGTCGGCCTGGACTACACAAGTTCAATGTCCCGACATAACCACTCCATGGGACGTAGGAGCAGGAGTAGGCCATTCGGCCCCTCGAGCCTGCCCCGCAATTTAATAAGATCATGATTGATCTTCCAACCTAATTCCATTTACCCGCCTTATCCCCATATCCCTTAATCCCTCTATTCTTTAGAAATCTATCAACCTCTGTCTTGAATATGCTCAAGGACTGAGCATCCACAGCTTTCCTGGGTAGAGAATTCCACAAATTCACTACCCTCTGAGTGAAGAAATGTTTCCTCAACTCAGTTTGAAAAGGCTGTCCCTTAATCTTGAGACTATGACCTCCTAGTTTTAGATTCTCCAACCAGGGGAAACGGTCTCACAGCATCTACCCTGTCAAGACCCTTAAGAATCTTATAGGTTTCTATAAGATCACCTCTAATTCTCCTATATTCCAGAGAATATAGGCCTAGTTTACTCAACCTATCCTCATAGGTCAACCCCCTCACCCAGGAACTAACCTAGTGAATCTACGCTGTATCCCCTCTAAGGCGAGTTTGTCCTTTCTTAAATAAGGAGACCAAAACTGCACACAATATTCTAGGTTTGGTCTCACCAAGACCTTATACAACTGCAGCAAGACTTCCCTACTCTTGTACTCTTAACTCTTTTGCAACGAACGCCAACATAGCATTAGCCTTCCTAGTTGCTTGCTGTACCTGCAAACTAACTTTTTGTGACTGGTGAACAAGGACACCCAAATCCCTCTGAACACTAACACTAGCTCATCTCTACCCCTCTAGAAAATAATCCGCTTTTCTATTTTTACTACCTAGGTGACTAACTTCACACTTCTCCACGTTATACTCCATCTGCCACCTTCTTGCCCACTCACCTAACCTGTCTATTTCCCTTGCATTCTTCGTGTGTCATCCTCACAGCTTATCCCACCTATCTTCGTATCGTCTGCAAATTTAGATATGTTAAGTTCTATTTCCTCATCTAAATCATTGATATAGACTGTAGATAATTGAGGCCCAAGCACTGATCCTTGTGGCACTCCACCAGTCACATCCTGCCAATCTGAGAAGGACCCGTTTATCTCTACTCTCTGTTTTAGAGAGTAGGCAAGAGTAGACTCTGAGATTGCTACCTACTGAGCCAGGCTTTACTGGCCAGAATTACAACATATTCTGGTGGCAATTGGTATGGCAGTACATTTTATTTTGGAAAAAACATCCATATTGATTGATAGAGCAGATGTTATAAAATATAATATTAATCCTTGCATATGATATAGCGCCTTATCATGTCTTTGAGACATCTCAAAGCACTTCACAGAATATAACGAAAAGTAAATTGACTGAAAAGTTTGTGGGCGAAACCCGGCAGCCAATTGCGCACAGCAGTGTCCCTCAGTTGTGGATTGAGTGACTCAATTTTTTTTAAAAAAAGGAATTATTTCGCCCAGAAAAACGATCCACCAATCGACTAACAACCAGGTTCCTACTTACTTCTAGGTAAACAGAGGCGTGTGGAGTAAGGAAACTTGCTCAACGTTTTGCCCTACCGGGAATCAAACCCAGGTCGCTCTAACCACTGAGCTACAGGACTCCGTGTTATACTCTGTGCAATCGAATATCTGCTCTCTATACTTCCAATATTCATGGAAACAAAATGGAATGTATAAAATCTGTAGACAAAAACATTTCATATTTAAATTGCCTGTAACCAGAAGATTTCTGGGCAGTGGAGGCAGGAAGAGAGAACCACATCCAGCGAAACAGAGTTTCAGAGTTTCCACATGAACCTGCAGTGGAAAATCCAGCACAGAACATAAAGGAGCTCGGGTAGGGAGAGTCACCAGTGTTAAATTACTCAACTCTGCTAAAATGTAGGAAATGTTCACTCTTTGGTCCGATTTTTCATAATTATATTTCCTAATTCAACATATGAAATGAATATCAAAACAAATTTTCCCTCTTCTAACTAGCCTCTAGAAGTCGTTCCATTGCATTTTAAATCGTGTAAAATTACTAAATGCAAAGGAAATATTAGGAATTGACCTAACCAGAGAGGAAACCACTCCCTACTTTATAGTTGACTTTATTAATCTGACTGATACTTAAGAGCCAGACAAAATAAGTGATCTGATCTACATGACAATTTCAACTTGATTCAGCAATATTTTTGTTCCAAAATGAAATTCTCATGCAATAAAATTATATTTCAAAAAGATGGTAAACAAATCAAAAATATGTATAAATCCAGCAGCTGCAAAAGGATATCCAGTAATTAAATAATTCATAAACTACAGCCGCTCCCATATGTTTCCATTATCACAGTTCGTGTGTGGGTGTTAAAACAAGAGCTCACGGCCCAAGTATTTGGGAGAATTTCATTTATATGAACTCTTTTGAAATGCGCTAAATAAATGCAATTTGTATTACTGTTGTTATGTGCAGACCACACATTTTAGCAAAACAGAAAAGGATACAAAATCTGGAAAATGTTTACCTTATCACCTTTTTTGATTGTTCTGACTTGAAGTTTGCTGATGGCTTTTTTAGCAGCATCCCCAAGCCGGCGCTAGAAAACAACATTTAAAGAATAAGTAATCTTACTGTACTGTAATTAGAGAAACAGTCATTATATTTTGTAGCCTGTACAAATAGGAATTATATTTATACAGAATTACTGGGAGTTAGGATGGGTAGAAATGTATAATGAACTACATATCTTAGTGGTACATTGGATACTTTCATTCTCTCAAATTTGCTTCTTAGAATATCTGTTTCATCGGGAAAAAAAAGATAAGATTTTGGCGAGGGACGAAAGAGGGTTTACAAATGGGTGTTCGTCACTGACAAACTGCTTATAAACACGTCTATTTACTCATCTATGCAGGTATTAATTAAAGGTGGAATACATATTTTATATGAAAAAAATTCAGCACCAATAAATGCTGTTCATAATGGCCATTTTGATATGTTGCCAGATTTGGTGCTCTTCTTACACTTTTCAGAATTTTCATAAACAGGATTTGTATCATAAACTGTTTGATTACTATGATATGAATTACCAGATGGTAATAATCCTTCCATTCAACATAGTGCCTTTCACATCTGGAGACGTCTCAAAGTGGTTCGTTCACAGGATTCACTGTAAAGTGCAGGGATTGTGTATTTTATTAGCGAATATTAACCTTTTTCTCACATCTCAGAAAAAGCAATTGCAGTAGAATGTAAGTGTTATAAATACTCTTTTGATCATCTTGTTTAAAAAATATAAATAAAACTATAGGCCATTTTTAGCAACTATTTATGTTTTATTTATGATTCCACCACCATTATTTATTATGTATTAAATGTATCATCAATTGAATGGCTATCAATAGCATCATAAATACCACATTAAAGAGACTATTTGATCGTCAGATTGTTTAAGAATCTTCATGTACAGACTCCTTTTAATTTAAGTTAATTCAATGACTAATGTGGCCACTGACTCCTTCACAACTGCTGCTACTAAACATATGGTTAGTGTTATACTTGTATTCCAGATTAGCAGAGAAATAGCCATTTCATATCTTGTCATCGGTTTGTCACTCTCCTCTCATGACATGAAAACGTAGAATGTTACTGGACAGAAACGGGCCTTTCGGGCCCATCACACATTTATCTATATTAACCATATTAAGTCTAAATCCACTCCTATACCCTTTAATATTCTTCACTGTCAAATTTATGTCTTAAATTAATCTATGGTTTCTGCTTTTACAATACTTTCTGGATGAGAATTCCACATTTCTATCACTGAATGTAAAGCATTTTTAAAAAAAACTTTCTGCAATTCATTTTGTGACTATCTTGAATTTGTGATCTCTTGCTACTGACTTGCCAACCGCTGGAAATAATCTATTACTATTTACCCCTTCATAATCTTCCAAGACGTATCATCAGTGCACCCCTTAACTTTCTCAGATCTCAACTCTTTAGCTGAAACCTGGTAACATCCCTATGCTGCATCTTTTCTATTACTTTTATACTCTTCCTACAACGTGCTTGACTGATCATTGAGCTGAATGTGTAAACTGTGTTATTCTTTTTTAAAAAAACTTATTTTATAGTTTTAAACACAAACTCTTAAATTTTATATAAATTGCCAAGTTCATTTAATAAATCCAGTGGAAAAATTCCAAAACACTCAGCCATCTGCCATTAATCTCAGATTTCATATCCTCCCTTCGTTGCCAGAGTGTTTCAACACACTAATCACTCGACAGACTATAAATCCTATTCAGCATCGGTTATACAGTACAGTACTATCATAATCCTAAAAAATATATTTTTCAGTCAAGGGACAGACCAAATATTAAAGGGAGCTCACTTTTTAAATCAAAAGGCAATATCAGGACTATTTATTGTGTAATGGGAATGGTGGATAAATGGAAATTTGTTATAAATGCAAGTTTTATTGTCATCTTAGAAGATGTTGGAAGTATCCTAGTAGCACAGCCAATCTGATAATTTGATAATATAAAATTTCATATGTACAGCGCCTTTCACATTGGGAGGGCGTCCCAAGGTGCTGGACAGTCAGGGATTTGGGCCCGAGCTGCGGGGGTGGTGGTGGGGTGGGGGATCAGGAAGGGTGGAGTGCAGGGATGATGTCCGAAGGCTCGGTCGAAGAGGATAACGTGCAAACGTAATGTCATTCAAAAGCATTTCAGATACGTGGCCAGATAACATTATTCACTTCCTTTTCTCTTCAAATTTAAGCAACTTTTCTCATCATTTTTGAATTATTGACTTAAAATGCAATTTTGGTTTGTTTTTGAGCTAATTCTTGCATTTGATCTAGCACCTTATCATATTGTTGAAACATCTTAAAATGATTTCATTGTAGTACTAAGTGTAGCGACTGTATTTGTCGGTGAACAATAGCAGCCAAATTTCACATAGCGCCACAGAATCTTTTATATCCACCTGAACAGGCAGGCACTTTAACATCTCATTTGAAAGACAGCATTTCTGACAATGTAGCACATTCCCAGTTTTGCATTTGAGTGGTTGGCCTGCCCTGCATTAGAGCGGTTGGCCTGCCCTGCATTAGAGTGGTTGGCCTGCCCTGCATTAGAGCGGTTGGCCTGCCCTGCATTAGAGTGGTTGGCCTGCCCTGCATTAGAGTGGTTGGCCTGCCCTGCATTAGAGTGGTTGGCCTGCCCTGCATTAGAGTGGTTGGCCTGCACTGTGAGCTCAAACTCACAATTGTGGAGCTGGAATTCACAATTATCTAAATCTGAGGTGAGAGAGCCACCAATTGAATCAGGCTAATACTAACCTAGATGAAAGCCTCGTCGTTCCCTGTAAATTTCTATCTACATTTTTGCACTTCAATAATACACAAGATTACACATACTGTAGTTTATTATTAGTTATTTGGCCTAACATTTTACATCCTTGTTCAAAGGAGAGGTAGGAAAGTATTGATGAACAATGCAGGAAAGAATTGATGAACTATTCCTACGTATGCAGGTTTCTCTTCTCTTCCCTCTCTCCCCAAACAGTTAACTTTCAAATAGGTCTTATTTACAAGACTGAGAATATATAGAATTCAGTACTTTAGACTAGTATTGAACAGAATATGCTGATCTAATGACTCTTAGAGTCATTTTCGAACAGAGGTGATCCATTGAGAGAGCTCAGTCTCTCCACTCCCCATATGAGTTTGGCAATTAGGCATAATCTACATGAATAAATTCAGTTCATTAACAAAATAGTCTCACCTGTAACTCATGTGTGTAAGTTCTGCCTATATGATACATGGAAAATACTGGAAAGAGAATAATAATAATAATAATCCTTGCATTTGATATTGCGCTTTTCACGTCGGGAGGACGTCCCAAAGCGCTTCACAGAACACACTGTAAAGTGAATTGACTGTATATTTGTGGTTTTAACTCTATGAAATTTGATACTGCAGTGCATCTAATATTCCTTCCTTCAGAGGAAATGGCTTTACACCATATCAGCATAATAATGCATAATAATAATAATGTGTGAACTGTATACACCGTATACATGGAATATAGATTATGTACTGCACACATGAGATAAGACAATCAGATCTGCAATGTAATGTAATAACCCACTCGCAGTTTAAGCACCAAGTAGCTTCTTTGCTCACGGTCAATGTGAGAGATTGCTCGCCTGTAGTCATGGTAACCGCCTTGCTATGACTGCTTCTGAAGCATTCTGGAGCATCAGCACCAAAAATATCTTACATCAGCTTTGACAAACAAAACACGTAAAATAGTACAAAGCAAAGCTCCTAACCAAGGTCAAATCTTAAAGAAGCGGCATGGACAAAACACACAAAATCCACAAAATGTTGCACACATACATCATCCAAACTGAAAATTAAATAAAGCTGTTTGATACAATACACGTTGATCATATGTAACTCATACGCCCCTCTATTGGTTTGCAGTTATATGGACTTCACATACATAGTGTAGTATGCTTTATCACATACATTCAGCAGCTCCCCAAATGCTTTAGCAGAGGAAACAACAACAACTTGCATTTATATAGTGCCCCTCACCCAGGATAGCGTCCCAGCGCACTTGATGGTGGCAGGGCGCAACGCCGAGCCGGGGGGAGATGACCGTAGGCGCGACCTGAAGATGGGGAAGGAGGGGGTAAGGCGGAGGGATAGAGGAAGACGGTTCCAGAGTTTCGGGGCGAAGTGGCTGAAAGCCTGACCAATGGTGGTACGGAGGGCATGAGGGACATGCAGAAGGCTGGAGACAGTCAAGCAGAGGCAGCTGGTTGTGAGTCGGAGGGTAAGCAGATTGGAGAGGTAGGGAGGTACCAGGGCATAAAGGGATTTAAAAACAAGTGTGAGGATCTTGAAATCGATCTTGAAATGATTTCAGGCAAGGAAACTCCCCACTTGTAGAAATGGTCAAAGTACCATGTTGGGCAACAGCATACCAATGCTGTGTGATCCTAACAATAACAACAACAGCCACAATTGCATTTGTATAGCGTCTTTCACGTTAGGCTCTGGGACCAACTGAGAATATTACTGCAGCGTAGTTCAGTCCAAGTTGCTTTATTATTTTCAATTTGTTTAAACATACACATTTTTCATTCAACTAGGACACAAGCATATTCATGGCTCCTTCCCTCCCACATGCAGACTAGCATCTCGGAATACTTAACAGTGGCAGAGCCTGACTCTGAGCCAGAGGGAGGAGACCGTAAACACAGTCTTTAGGCATGATTTGAAAATGCACAGCCACTGATAGTGGGGCGAACGGAGTAAGAGTGAAAGGCTTAGTGACAAATTTTTGATTGTCTGGCGTGTCTCTTATCAACTGACCTCAGTAGCCGCTTGGTTACTACAAATTTCAGCTACACTCGGCTTCGCTCCTTCCAAGCTTATTCTGTGCCCAATTTAGCTCACCTAATTTAGGCGGCTGGAGATTTCAATCTGGAGCTTCCCTGACTACATTGGCTTAGTTCTACATTATGTGGTGTTTTATCCACTCAATGATTACTGAGCTCAGAATTACAATTTTG